CTCCTCCCCAGGCCCACCCCTCCCCCGCCCCTCACCTTGCCAGAAGATGAAGTTCTCAGACTCCGCATGGCATGCCGAGATCGGGGGGTGGTGGGAGACCTCGAGGAGCAAAGAAGTTCCCTGGAGGCTGCCCCAGAAGACCTTGGGGTCTGCGTCTGACATCAGGACCCCTAAGTCCCTTACCCATACCCCCAGTTCCCCTTGAACCACAAGACGAGTTAGCTCTAGGTCTCTTGTCCCTTTCATCCTTGGCCACCACCCAAATCCATCATCTTCACTTCTGCCCTCAAGGCCCCTATGTTCTCCCTTCTCGCTCACTCTCCTCTGTAGCTCCCCAGCCAACCCTGTCTGTGGTGGCCTCCAGAACCCCTAGCCAAGCCTAAAAATTTCCCTCAACAGTGACAGATGGGGCCTCCACCCTGTGCCCTGCCTGGACCCCAGTCCTCCCCTGGGGACCCTCTTCTCTCACCGTTTCTTCCCCAGAATGCTGGTCATCACCCTGCAACCTCCACCCCACACCCTTGGAAAAACGTGGCCTTGGCCTCATCTGGAACCTTAAACTCTGATATCCCACAGCCGGCCGTCCTTGCCTCTCTCCCTGCTCCCTGTTGCCCATGGCACTGGCCAAGATGTCCTGTTCCCCAACTGCCCTGGCTTTCCCCTGGTCTGTCATCCCACTCCTGGCATCACTTCCTTCTGGCCCATCACTTCCACCACTCTCACTTAATACACGTGACACCTGCTCCCACCGCTTGCCAGCAATGCCAGCACTGGCCTCCTCTGTGCCCGCCCCACACCTCTCATTCTCCATGGTTCTACACCTGGGCCCTCAGCCTCCCCCAGCAATCCTGAGGGCCTGACCCAAGCCAGCCCCTTCAAACCCTGTCCCCCACCATCAGAGTGAGAACAGGGAGCCGAGAAGCCAGCTCCTTCTGCTTCCAGCCTCACTCACGATCTGCCTGCTCCCACCCGGCCTGACCCGCTTCCAGGCAGGGTCCTTGGCCCCCCACGTTGCATCCCCTTCTTCCCCAGGCCCCTGGCTCCTCCCATTCCCTTCCCTCTTTGGAACCTTCAGTTTTTCCCTCTATATTTCTCTTTCTCTTTGAATGTAATGATTTCTTGTTTCTTCCATCTTAAAAAATAGTAAACCTTCCCTTTCTAGACATGCACATCTTTGCTCGCATATGTGCTCAGATTTCTGGGAGGATTCACAAAAACTGGTGGCAGCAATCCCATCAGATGGTAAAGATGGGAGGTAGATTTATTTTCTACTGCACACGCTACTGCACTATGTAAGTTTTCACCATGTTTTCAAAAACACTTAAAATCTAAACAAACAATGGCCTCAACCTTTTATCTCCCCTCTAGCTGCCAACCCCTCTCTCCTCTTTCCCTCATAGTAAAATTTTTTGGAAATAGTCTGCATTTTTCTCTATTTTCTTTTTTTTGTTGTTAGTCTCCACTGTACGTGCACTGTAATCCAGTCTCTGCCCCACCCTTTCTCTGAAAGCTCCCTCGCTCAGGGAGCCACTGACACCCCTAGGGCCCCCTCAGTGCTCCCCGCCTCCCCTGCCTGCCCTCCTCCCCGACATGCTCAGGCGGGCAGTCTCCAGCTTGTGACTCCCCCATGTGCTCTCTGGGGAGCTCCAGGCCCAGCAGCCCCGGAGCCTACTGGACTCTCCCCACGGAAGTCAGGCCCACAGGGATGATGTCTCCCTAATTCCATTTCCTCCCTTATACACTTTCCACCCAAGTCTGTCTCCTACTCTCAGCCTTCTGCAGAGCCCTCTATGACCCCAGCATGTGCCACAGTGCCTGGTATAGACTGGCTGTCCCCGGCTCCTCTCCCATGTCTTGGCCTCAGCTCCTGGGTTCCAAAGCGCAGTCCTTCCCTGCCCCAGCCACAGGAGGCGAGCCTTGTGTCCTGGGCCCACACCTGCTCACTGATGAACCGGAAGCCTCGGTCAGGCCGCTCACACTCGTAGGTCTCCCCCAGGACGGGGTTGAAGGGCTTGCAGCCTGCCCGGTGGTAGGTGGAGGAATAGGCAGAGACAGCGAAGGCTGCGATGTACACCTGTGGGCAGGAGGGCAGCGAGAATGCTGCTGGGGGCCGGGGCTGAGGAACGGGGACCAGGGAAGGGGATGCCACCCACTGTCTGGGGTCTTGGGATGGAAATTCAGCAGCAAGGAATAGCCCAGCCAGGGTTCTCTGGGAGACAGTGGCCTGGGCCCAAGGGCAGGTGGGGTTGGTACCATGCGCTCGCAGGGGTCGGCGATGCGGCTGGCCTGGTCCAGGAGGCTGCTGTACTCCAGCTCCTCGCAGAGCCGCTGCAGGGTGTTGAGCGGCTCGTTGAGCTGCACGGGCATCGACACCTTGGACAGGTCTTTGCCGATGTTGTTTCGCAGTATGTTCCACAGGCTCACGTCCGCCCCGGGCCCGCTGGCCGCAGGCAGACAGCGGCGGCGGGGGGGCCCTGCAGCTCTCCCTGGAACACACCCCCGGGGCCCAGCGCAGCCACGTCACTCTCTGTCTGGGCGCCAGCATCCAGACCTGGCCCGGCTGCCTCCCTGTCTCTTGCGGTGCTCGTGGATAGATCCAGTCCCAAGGCTCAGTCTCGACTCACTGTGGGACAGGGCAACCGGGGATCTCATCTTTGATAAGGGGATTTAGGTGGGCATCAGGGACAAGAACCACTCAGAGAGGACAGTTCCCAGTGCCAGAAACCTTGCACCCCAGAGCCTTTCCCGAGTCCCCACCCTTGCTTTTTGTCCCCTTTATAAACAGAAACAGATGTCAGGATGCAGATCACTCAGCCCATTTTATAGATGAGGAAATAGGCTCCACGAAGTAAAATGACAGGTCCAAAGCCACACTGCTAAAAAGTGGCAAAGTGAGATCTTTTTCAGGCCGTATGTGAACCTTCCCAGTCCCCAGGCCTGAGCCTGACCCCACCCCCAGAGCTGCTCCTGGACCATTCTCCAGCTCTTAGCTTAGCCTTCCTCAGCTCCTGGGTCACCACGGGGGTCAGCACCTAAAGCCATTAGTGTACCAGTCACCACAAGGGACTACCGCCACATGGGGCCTGGGCCAAGGGCAAACCCCATCTCTCCACCCACCTCCAGCCCTTCCTGCCCACACGCCCTGGCTGGCACCTTTCTGATAGCGCTCGGCTCCCCTGAGGTCCAGCACCTCCTCAGACAGGCTGGTGGTGACTTCACTGGTGCACGACTCCTCCTCCTCTGAGCCCTGGGCCAGGACAGATGACAGGCCGGGCAGACTGGGCCTCCCCCGGGCAGCTGGGCAGTGCCCAGGGCCTGGCAAGAATCTGCCCAGCTAGCCCTTTGGTGGGAAGGGGAAGAGAATGTACTGGGGGGGCTCTGAGCCCTAATCACAGAGTATGCCCAGCCACCTTGGGAGGGGGAAGGCCTGGCCCTGTGACAGGTGGGAGAGAGCTCAAAGACTTGGCAGGACACAAACGGAAGGGAAGTCTGGCTGGTTAGCTCACTTGGTTAGAGTGTGGTGTTGGTAACACCAAGGTCGAGGGTTTGGAACCCCGTACCAGCCAGTTGCCAAAACAAAACAAAACAAAACAAAAAACAAAGGGAATGGAAGTTGGAGACTACTGAGATTTAGGGTCTGGGGAGAAAATACATCAAACTGGGAGAAGAGTCCCCAGCAGACTTCTGAGCAGGGCCACATGGACCCAACAGATTTGGATGTGTTCCAAAGGCAGCAGCCAAGGCAGTCAGAAAGGACTGGGGAATCTACAGACTCTAGTCTCTCTGGACTCCACCGTCATATTCCCAAGGCCCCACCCCGCCTCACCTCATTCTCAGAAGAGCTGGCAGAGAGGAGAACCTCGCAGGCATCAAAGAACTCTGTGTGGGAATCGGCAAGGGACAGGATACTGCTCTGGGACAGCTGGGGGGTCAGCTCTCGCCCCTTCATGTACAGAGCTTCTTGCTGTGAAGGCCAGACAGGTGTCAGGCCCCAGGGGCCACGCCAAGAGAGTCAGGCAGGCAGGGCTCCCCCTTGCCTGACAGTCCTCTTGAGAGGGAAGCGTATCTGGGGACTTTTACTGTCTGAGTGTGACATCTGGAGAGCAGGAGGAGAGGCAGAGGGGAGTGAGCAGGATGCAAAGGTGTATTAGAATGAACTCTGGCCGGGAGTAAGGCGACTCGGGCTCCACGATAACTGCTTATACTTCCTGGGCCCGGATTCTGAGCCCTGCTCCAAGCCCTCTGCGTGTATTAACTCATTTGATCCTGATACCCACCCTAGGAGGTCAGTGCAATTATCATCCCCACTTTGCAGATTAGGACACTGAGGCTCAGGGTCACAAAGCCAGCATGCAGTGGAGCCAGATTCAAACCCACAGAGCACAGCCCCAGAGTCTGTGCTCGGAACACCTAAGTCCCAGTTCAGCTGGTCCATAATTGTGGGAGACTGGGCCCGTTAGTCAGATTCTTTGAATCTGTTTTGTTGCCTTGACAGTAAGAATCACTGCCTCATAGGATTGCGGATGAGAAGAAAAAGCCCTGTGCACGTGGTTAAGGGATGATTAAGATGCGGCTGCTGCTGATGTTATGAGAAGGATATCGGAGCCAAGATTTCTAGGCTCTGTTTCTGGACTGGAAACCAACCTTGCCCACCACCCTGGGCCTTCACTCCTGCTGGGGAAGAAGGTGCAGGAAAAATGGCCCCCTACAGCCCACCCCGGCTCCTCACCTCCTCGGGGTTGAGGGAACTGAAGGAGTCTGCAGTGGTGTCTGAGGAGGTGGACAGCGAGTGAAGGCGCCTCTGGCCACCCAGGGCCTCAGAGACCTGCAGGGAAAGGGTGAGGGAACAGGGAATGAAGTCCTCCCCACCCTGCCATCCTCACCTCTGCAGACTGTCTCTGCCAACACCCTGCCCCCTCATCCACCCAGATCTGCCATTGGACCCCAGGCCTGCAGGCCTCAGCCTTGAGCCCCCTCGTCCCACTGGCCGCCCTGCTCCCTAAGCCTCACCCCCAATGCTGATAGCTCGGACCCTGGGTGCAGATCCCTCAGTCGATCCCGTTCGGCGGTGAGGGCAGCCAGGACGCTGCTGAGGGAGCTGTGCACTGTCGGGCAGGGGCAGGGTGGATCATCAGCCTCCTCCGCCTCCCTCGCCTGCTCCCCGCCACCCCGGCATGCACTCACCCTTCTGAGCCAGGGCCCAGAAGCTGCGCTGCAGGTGGGCATAGTCTGGGGGTGGTAGCCCACGGGGGCCTGAGGAATCCCGGGACTCCAGGTAGCGAGACAGGTTAGGAACAGAGCCGTGGAGACGACCAACCTGTGGGGTCGGAGGGAAGGGCTGAAGGGGACAGCCTCCTGCAGAGCGTCCCACCCTAGCAATGGGGGCCACACCCCACCTCACCCGTCCAATAGTGTCGTCCTTGGCAAAGCTCTGGGTGCACCACATGCGGCTGGTCCGTTTTCCCTTCTTGGGTCTCTCAGTTGTCACTGAGGCCTGGCAAGTTGAGGTGGGGACAACGTCACTCACAGGGTGGGGGAAAGGGGCAGCAACCATCAAAGCCCGCTAGAGGCAGACGGCCGTGGAGGAGGGCACAAAGGCAAGAAGATGGCAGCCCGGGCAAAGTGACAGGGACGACCAACATCCCAGAAGAAGAAGACCGACAGGCTCACAGAGGTGTGGGCAAGCAGGACAGCACAGAGACAACCTTGACACGGTTCGGACACTGGGGAGAGGCAACTAGGAGGATGTGCAGCTCTGCACAAAACTGCAGCAATACAGAGGAGCAGGTGGCTGGCCACACACACACACACACACACACACACACACACACACACACACATGCTGCCTCAGGCTAAATGCACCAAGGTCCAAGGTTTGATCCCTGAACCAGCCAGCTGCCAAAATAAATAAATAAAAATTAAAAAATTAAAAAAAAATAATAAAGAGGAGCGGGGACCTGTCCCAGGGAGTGATGGGGATCAAGGGCCTCCACACAATGCACCAAGGTCCAAGGTTTGATCCCTGAACCAGCCAGCTGCCAAAATAAATAAATAAAAATTAAAAAATTAAAAAAAAAATAATAAAGAGGAGCGGGGACCTGTCCCAGGGAGTGATGGGGATCAAGGGCCTCGTCCCCTGGACCTTACCTGGTGTGTGGGGATCACAGGGGCTGAGGGGATTCGGTGCAGTGACTCCAGGCTCTGGAGGAGCCTGTGTAGTTCCTGGAGCTTCCCCTGACATTCAGAGAGCTCTGGGGAAAGAGCAAAGAGGACGTTGCTCACCCAGCACTGGCCAGGGTTGGTGAGAGGCTGTCCCTCAGCTTCCTCCTTGGCACTTGGCTCCCCCAGCAGCCATGTAGATCCCGACTCTGCTCCTCTTCCCCTGCTCATGGGCCCAAAGCGGTTCCAGTGCTCCCGCCCCCACATAGTGTGGCCTCTCCCTCGATCCCGGGAGGCCTGCAGCCCAGTCCACTGTCTCCAGACCACGCCTTGCCTCTGCTGCCTTCGCACGGGGGGTGCCCTCACTCCCTCTCTCCAGGCCAACATCGCAGCCCCCACTGCAGGAGTTTGATTCGAGAGCACACCCCTTCCCTGGCATTCTTCCTCAGAACCCTTCCCTGTGCTGGCATTCAGTATCTTGTTCATCACGAGACCTGGCCCTGCATCCACGTCTGTCTATGTGCCTGGGGAATGGGCTCTGCCATCCTCTGTAAGGTCGGGGCTCCCCAGGGCAGGGCCCAAGTAGACTTGCCCATCTTAGAGGCAGAGGCTGTCTTCCATCAGACTGGGGCTCCCTGAGGCAGGGACGGAAGCAACATTTTCCCTCCTGTGATGCCACCCAGACCTGCCAGCATGGGCCCTACCCATGGAGGTGCTGTGCCAAGACCCCTCACCATGAGAGCAGCGGTCCAGCCCATCGTTGTCCCTCAGCCAGGAAGACACCTTTTCCCGAGGTCCAACCCCAGGTAGGGCTGAGGTGCTACCCGCTGTCGGAAGCTGAGTGCCAGGAACCTGTGGGTGAGCTAAGGGTCAGGAAGGATGGTGCCCACCTCCCTGGGCCTCACAGTTCCTCACAGCCACCACACCTGAATCGCCACATCACCTGCCCCCACCCCACGGCTCATCTTACCTTCCGATGAGCGGTACTGGGCAGCAGGCCACGGGGCATGTCCAGGCACTGGGCCAGGCGGTGGGCACGCAGCTGGGCCACCCAGCTCTGGAACAGGTCCTGGGATTTGATCTGCAGAAGTGATGGAGGGCAGGAGGGGTATCTGAAGGGAGGGACTGCTTTCCAGGAGCAAGAAGTTGGGGCTCGGGTCCCCAGGCAAGTGGGGGTCTCTTCCCAGTTTGTGCAAAGCCCTCTTGCAAGGAGGTGGAGCACAACATCCCCAAGTGTCTGAGTGCTTAGCTCTGTGGCTGTTCACATAACAACCAACAGGTGCAGGTTTTATACAACAGGGCTTCCTTCCTGTCAAACTCAGGGACAGATACTGAGCTCTGCAGACCCTCAGCTCCTGCCCCTGTGTGCCATAGCACCTCTGCCAGGCTGGGGGTCAAAACACTCCCTGGCTCCCAGGGGTGTCACCTTGAGGTGGTAGATGTTGTCTTCGGTGTCAAGGTCAATGCGCTGGGCCTTTTTGTTGATAGACATGACTGACAGCCGGACATCAATGGAGCCATGGAGCTTCCCCTTGGTGATCTGGGATGGAGGGTTGGTGGGGGGAGAGAAGGATGGGTTTTAGGCTCAGAGCCACCATCTCCCTGAGGCCACTCTAGGCTCAAGGGCCAGGTAGCAGATTCACCCTCATGTCGAAGTCACACCATCAGTAGGGACTTGATCACCCTCCTGTGTACTGAACTCTCCACTCTGTCAAGTCACATTCTGAGCTCTAGGGAGTCACAGAGCAAGGAACAACATTCCCACTCTAGGAATGTGCAAGGTTGAGGAAGGAAACACCCTCCTGGAGAGAACCTGGGCATCCAGGTCTTCAGTTCCTTGTTCCCGGCATGAGAATGGGACAAGGACGAGGGTGACCAAGCTCCCATTTCCTGGGCACTTGCTTTGCACCAGGCACCATCCAGAGAGCCTCATTTGTCATCTCCCTTACACGACAACAACGTCACACACAGTGACTGCGCTCTCCTCATCTTGGAGATGAGGAAGCTGAGGCCAGAGAAGTAACCTGCCCAAGATGGCACACTCAGCAAACAGTGTGCCAGGGACCCTGCTATGAGTGGGTCCAGGTACCCCCTGCCTGCCTGCCCAGGGCATTCTGGGGCCAGACCCCTCCCACAGCCCTAAGCCCAGGCCCTGACTCACATCTTGCCGGGTTGTTGCATAGTGAAGGATCCCATCCTCGAGCACAAAGTATCTCTGTGACGACATCCAGAAGGAACAGGACCCAGGAGGCCGAGAGAAAAGGGTGTAGGGAGAGGCAACCACATTCATAGACTTTTTGTCTCCTCACCACACACAGACACCCAGGCCTGCCCAGCAGCCTTCCCCACCATGCCCATCCCGCCCCCACATCTGGCCCTTCCCCTTGCCCCGCCCACCCTACCTTGTGCCAGCCCTTCAGCGGCCACTTCCTCTTCTTGAGCAGGTGTCCTTCCTGCCTCTCAGGCATGATACCCTCTGCCCCCAGCCGGCCCCGCCGCTCCTCCACTACCTCCCACAGCTCGGAGGCCTGCAGTGCAGGACAGGGGGGCGCTGCTGGTGAGACGCCCACATCTGCCTCTCCCCCCCGGCCCAAACAAGGCTGCCCATTGCCTGCTTTCCACCCTCAGACCTGCTGGGCACTGCTGGGCTTCGAGGACTGAGCGCTCTCGGCCAGGGAGGGAGTGTCCCTCTCTTGGAAGTCCATGAAGAAGGGAGAAGCCACTCCCTGCTGAGGATGTGGAGTGTGGTGGAAGGGGAAGGATGTCACCTGGTCCTGAGGGGGCCCTGGAAACAGGAGAGAGTCCCCATTGGCACAGACCCTGCTATCACTTTCCCTCCTCCCGTCCCTCCCACCCCTCCCACCCCTCTGAGATAAGCGCTCACCGACACACCCTCCTCCGCCCATCTGTCACGCTTCTCCCCAAGTCTGTCCTGACCCCACCCCGGACAGGTCTCCCTGCCTACATCCTCCCGCCAAGGCCACTGCTCAGAGATTTGAACTGGCACACAGCCCACAGGCCAGTGCCGAGAGAAAACCGCAAGAAGCATGCCTAGCCCCACCTTGGGCACACACCCTGCGGCTCCAGGAAACACTCAGTGCTATCTTAGGAGGATTCCCCAGGGGTGATCAAAGGTGAGGCAGAATGAAGGAAGAGGCTCCAAGCAAAGACACGGATTCAGAGACCGGAAAATCCAGTTGCCTCTTCCTTCAGGACCCCTCCACCACCACCCTATGGCTTGGAGACTGCTCTGCCACAATCCCCCTGCAAAGCACGCCCCAACCCCCCACCAATTGGTCTGTACATTATATAGTTCTTGGGCTTCTGTTTTTTACATGGGGAAACTGAGGCCTGAGACAGCCCCCATTGCCCCCATGCCTCCTTCCACCAAATGTACCCCTAGGATTCCCACCTTGGATCCTCAGTTCCCCCCAAAGCCTCACCATCCCCTTTCTACCATTTCAATCCTTGGGGTTCCTGAGAAGTACCACCCACCCAGACAGAGCAGGACACTGGGCTGATGGAGACTCTGTGGGTGGGAGGAAGGGTGACCAAGAACATGCCAGGTCCACACAGGTCCCACAGCAGTGCCCACAGGCACCCTTGGCACTGGCCCTGCTCCATCGGGAGATCAATAATGCATGAGGCTCTGTGTGTGTGATGTGTGTGTGTGTGTAATGGGGGAGGGGACTGGAGGGGTGAGGCTCGCCTGAGGCTGGGGAAGCAGCTCAGATCTTCCCACGGAGCTAGCAAGCACTTGAAGAGCTGAGGCTGGGAACGTGGCAGGGTAAGCATGGCCAGGAGGCCAGGGCAGAGGGGCCCATGCTGCAAGAGGCTGACCCCGGGGGAAACTCCTGCATTCGGCCATTGAAAGTTCTCAAACTCTTCCGGTGTTTGGGTATCTCTGTGCCCTTCTTCTGGCCCCATGGGATCTTGGCCCCTCACTGTTTGTGGGTGGAGGGGCAAGCTCTATCAGTAGAAAGGTGGGGGAGGGGTCGAGGCAAGCCAGGTGGGTGCCCCCTCTGCACCTCTATTCCTGCCCCATCTCAGAGGAGCAAAACTGCCAGCTTCAGGTGGGAGGAAGCCCTCCCTGGGAATGTCAGCTGATGCCAGCGCAGCCCCTTACCCCAGGATCCATGGATGCCCGTGCTCCTTGGCCCTCGCGCCGCTCTGCCTCTGAGTCACTGTCTCCGAGTCACTGGCTCCCTTCTCACGGAGCTGAACAGTGGCAGCAGCTGCTGCAGGAACCAGGAAGGAGACGTTGGAGCCTCCCCTCTAGCCGGATCTCCCCACTTCCACCTCCCCCACCCCCTCCTCCCGCCAAGCTCTGGGCGGCCGCTCAGCGCTGCCCCCCTGCTCCCCGGAGGACTCAGGGCTAAGCGGACTCCCCGAGCACTGAGCACCGATGTGGCTTGGGAATGGGGCACAGTCCCCACCGCGCACAGCTCCAGATAGATCAGAGGCCTGGGGAAATGGCTGGCCTCAAGCCAGTGGTGGTAAAGGATTTTATTCAGTCTAGCATGGCCTTGACCCCAGCAAGTGCCCGAGGCCATTTCCTTATTAACCCCCAGCCCTCTCATTTTACATCTGAAAATAGATTTCAAAATTTGGAGGCAGCAGAGGTATCAGGTTGATGGGGAAGGGACAGTGCCAAGAGAACAGTCAGCAGGGACAGTCAAGCCATGTGAGAGAGACAGCCGGTAGCCCCCACACCAAGGTTGTTCACTGGGGGTTGTGCCCCCCAGGTCAGGGTCCATAAGGGTCTAGAAGCCCTATGCAGTAAGACAACCCCCCAGAGCTATGGCTAAATAGGAAAAACAAATTCTTGTGGTCTACAGTAGTGGTGGGCATCAATAATTAACAATAATTTATTGTATGTTCTCAAATTGCTGGAAGAGAGGAGCTCAAATGCTCCCATCACAAAGAAATGATAAATTTTTGTGATGATGAATGTGCTAATTGCCCTGATTTGACCATCACACATTGTATACATATATTGAAATATAACTCTGTACCCCATAAATATGTACAGTCAATATGCATCAGTGTAAATGTAATTTTTGACAAAAGAGCCTGCTGAGAATCTGGGTCAGGAGCAGGTCTGGGACAGTTAAAAGGGGTGAGCTGGACCCAGTTTGCGTTAGCCCTCTCAGACTTCCCTTTCTGAGCACCTTTACCCTTCAACTGGAATACTGTTTGCAATTGCTCAATTCTAATTAAAAACTGGCTCTCAAGAAGGAGCTAAACTTCGTTCAAACGAAGGTCACTTGGACCTTAAGTGCAATGAAGCAGTTTTCTGGAAAGAGGGTTTTTAACGGGGGGGCCTTGGGCACTCCCAGCAAGTGAAGGATGTGTTGGAAGGTTCTTTAGTCCTCAAAATTATGTAGGACACTTGTCCCCTCCACCTCGTCCCCAACCAGGCTTGGTTTACTTTAGGCTCTTACACATCTCAGGACTGCCTGCTCTCAGCTCCACTCAGAACCTCAGCACTGCTCCAGCCATCCCAGGAGGAGGAGCGTTGTCAGCACCAGGCAGGGTTCTGGGAGGCAGGGAGAGCCACTAAGCAGCACCAGCCAGACCAGCTTTGGCATCCAGGAGCCTCCAGGGCCTATTCATTCACTTCAGAGTGATTGAGCATGCCTGGGCATACGGCACCGAGCTGGGCACTGTGGGAAGTTGGTTCTGGCCCAGGCCATGAAAAAGCTGCTGCAGATCACCACTGCCAGTGCCTGTCCAGAATCAAGAAAGCTGTGGCACTGCTCCAAGTCTGGGAAGGAATGGTGCGCAGCCACCCACCCTTTCATCCTTGTATCCACCCAGACCGAGTTCCAGTAAAGGACAAGGGCGAGCTTCTAGTTAAGCATCCCATCTCCTTTATTAGGAAGTTCTGGTCCCCCAAGCCTTGGATGAGGCCTCCTGCTTTGGAGTTCCCAGAACCCCTCATTGACGGAGAACCCGAGTTCCCCCCCAGCCCTGTTGTTCTGAACCACCCGAAACATGTTAGCTACTGGGCACAGCTGTCAGCTGCCTTCAAAGGGACAAGCACGTAAGAGATGCCCTTTGTGGGAATAGGTACAAGGGAAGAGGAAGGATTTTCTAGGAAAAGTGGAAACAGAGATGACAGAGATGACCCTGAGAATAAGTCTACAGGGAGGATAACCTTGTAAATAGGAAAACTGAGTAAGTAAAATGCATTTTTCTTCATCGTAAAGCAGTGCTCCCAAACTTTCCACAACATAGCACACCCCAAGGATGGCAGAGAACTAACATCCGAGCACACCTGGGGCCCACTCCTGGGTAAGTTCATGAGGAAGTTCTAGTGTAGAAATTCAGAGTCGGTCTTCAGAGCAGAAAGCATGGCTCAAGTCCCTGTCCTGCCACTTACTAACTGCTTGATCCTGGGCAGGCTAACTTCTCTGCTCCTTCATTTTCTCTGTGAAATGGGGATGACTTGCTGAGGCATAACACACATGTACAGTGCTTAGCACAAAGCCTGGCACACAGTAGGCTCTCAGCAGGTGCCATTCTTAGCACAATTACTCAGTTGAGCTATTGTGAGGGGATGGACTGGGGAGATGTGTGCAGCAAGAGACAGGGAACAAGGAGGCAGCGGGCAATATCCTTATCTTTTCAGCTTCTCTGCTTCGCACCTGGAGAGCCGGAAGAGACTTCTCTTTTTATCAGGTGTTAAGTTGGGAACACAAACACCAAGGACAAAAACCATGATTAGGAGCTTCCATTCTGAAATGGCATCCCTCTGCATCTCCGGGTTGCTCTGTACCTGAGGAGCCCATAGTTAGTGGAAGCCAAGTAAAAAGTGCCCCCCGCCCCACCCCAAATTCTTCCACATCTCTAACAGAGGACAGCATAGCCAACAGGGGCAGGGTGTATTTATGGGAAGGGCTGGATAAGACAGGCTGGCTATGAGTCTGGAACAGGCTCAGGAGGATCTGGCTTCCCAGTGGCTGACGCGACAGAGTCCCCCTCGCACTGTTGTCTGGTGTACTGATCCAACAGGGCAGTCAGCTGGAGGGACTGGTGCTGAAGCAGGGAGTGGGTTTGTGCCATGAGGAGGGTGAGCCCTCCCACCAGGTCCCGCTGCACCAGGGCCAGGCTGGGCAGGTTGGCATAGTTGATGAAGCCCTGCCTGCTGAGGATGGTGTCATCAAGGCAGCCACCTGGAAGAAGGAAGAAGGGTCAGCTGGGCTGCCTGTGAATGCATTTCTTCTTTGAAAACCACGTTCCAACCCTAGGAATTGGCTCTTCATTGCTATTCTCCACCTCCCACCCTCCTGAGAATCTGCTTTCCTCTTGTGCCCCACCCTGCTCTCATTTCATTTGAAATTGATCCCCTCCCCTCTTTCCTAACTCTTCCCTCAGAAAACTCTTCCAGAATATATGCCCCTGACCCCGACCCTCAAGAAGTCAGTGTTTCCTAAACTTTCTTGGAGATAAGAATCATGGAGTTAGGCCGGCCTGTGGCTCACTCTGGAGAGTGCGGTGCTGATAACACCAAGGCCCCGGGTTCGGATCCCATATAGGGATGGCCGGTTCGCTCACTGGGTGAGCGTGGTGCTGACAACACCAAGTCAAGGGTTAAGATCCCCTTACCGGTCATCTCTTTTTAAAAAAAAAAGAATCATGGAGTTGTGGGAAGAAATAAGGAGCTACTATTTAGTGGTGTAGAGTTTCAGTTTTAAAAGATCAATGGAGATGGATGGTGGTACAACATTATGAACATACTTAATACCACTAAACTGTACACTTAAAATGGTTAAGATGGTAAATTTTATGTTATATGCATTTTATAATAAAAAAATTGGAAAAAAAATAATGGAATGTGTGTGTGTGGGTGGTAATTATAATTACAGATCCTGCCCCCAACCCCGACCTATGAAATCTGCATTTCCAGGGAACATACACAGTACTCTGTACAGAATAAGCCCCTCCAGTGAATCTTAGCATCAGTATAGCCTGGGTCCCTCAGCACCCTTTACTTGGGCTATTTGTTTTAAATATCTTCATCTGTGTGGGTTTCAGTACCCACTACCCAACAGTTAGACTCAAGGTGTCTGAATTTCTCCTCCTACCCCCTGTCCTCCAGAGTCCTCCACCTTCCCTGGTCTTCCCTCCAGCAGAGAAGTGACCTGTGCTTGTGAGACAACACAGGTACTGAAGTAACACAGTCAGACCTCAGTAAACGTGCTGTTCAGGCTCTATCCACGAGAGGATGTCCCCTCCAAGAATGCCCATGGTTTTATCCAGACATGTCTAGTGGATGGCACCAGGCTGCTGTACCACCTGCCTCACTTCACCCCCACCCCTAACTGGCAGGGGTGCTTGCTCACCTAGCAGCGGCAGGAAAGGCACACTCTTTAAGATCCGTACCATCTCCTTGGCCTTAGGTTCTTCACTGACCAGCAGGAAGTTGTGCCCCACAAAAAGAGGCAGCAGGTTTCGGTATTTGGAATCCTGCAGAAAGGGCTTCAGGACCTGGGATGGCAGGAAAGAACGGCTTATCAGGGACAAGTGGGAGGAAGAGCAGTCCACCTGGGTCACATGCCGTATCAGGCTGAGGTGCAACTCAAGGGTCTTCTCAGTCCCTAATTGCAGTTTAGGCACTCTACAGGGTGGCTTGTGGAGAGGAGGAGTAGGAAGTACCACGTCCAGGGAGCAGATGCTGAGGTCTGAGTCTGGCAGGGGCGTGGGCTAGATGGGCAACCCATGCCAGGGGGCCCACTCCCTACCTGGTTGGGGAAGACCTTCACCAAGATCTTATGTTTCCGCAGATGGTGCCGCATGAGAATCTTGTCCTCTGCACTCAGAGCCACATTCTGGCAGACAGCTATCATTCGGTTATCTCGGAAAACTGCTGCTATCTCCCGACGGAGGAGCCGGATGAGGCCTGTCTCCTGAAGTCAGGAAGGGATGACCAAGGGGACATGAGCTGTTCCTTCTCCGCGTACCCCTCACTCCCTCTGGAAGAGGTGCTAGGGCTTCCACTGAATCCCAAATGTGCAAAAGATCAGGGAACAGGTAAGATCATTGGGCCTGATTCTCAGAGATGTATAATATCTCCTACTCTAACTTCTTTATTTTTATTAGATAATCACAGTCTTTACAGCAGTTTTTCTAAACCCAATAATGCTCAGTGCTCCTTGAAGAGATCAGCAGTCTACCCCAGTTGACACTGTTCAACAATATTGTCAAAATTACTTCAGTGATTGGGGCCGGCCTGTGGCTCACTCGGTAGAGTGCGGTGCTGATAACACCAAGGCCACGGGTTCGGATCCCATGTAGGGATGGCCGGTTCGCTCACTGACAACACCAAGTCGAAGGTTAAGATCCCCTTACCGGTCATCTTTTAAAAAAAAAAAAAAAAAAAAAATTATTTCAGTGATTAATCTGACACTGTACTTATGCTGAATTATTTTACCAGTTATAAATACAAGATAACTCTTTTGCAACATTAGTTTAAAACTAAGAGATTTTCTTTTTTTTTTGTCTTTTTTCGTGTCCGGCAACAGATCGCAACCCTCAGTGTCGCGCCCGTACCGGACCGGGACTGGCAACGGGATTGCAGCCCTCGGTGTTGCGCCCGCACCTCGCTCAGCCAGTGAGTGGGAACCGGTCTGTATGTGGGATCCGAACCCTCAGCGGGAGCGCAGCCACACTCCTAAGCAGCGCACTGTAGCAGTGCGCCACCGGGCCGGCCCTAAAACTAAGAGATTTTCACAGAATAAGACTTCATTTTCTTAAGACAACGTCTCCCAAAGATGAGAACTTGTAGACCCAGGAATATACAAGGGACTTCAAATAGTTCATGGAAAGATTTGTATTTTTTTTTGCCTAAGCGGCGCACTGTAGCAGTGCGCCACCGGGCCGGCCCTAAAACTAAGAGATTTTCACAGAATAAGACTTCATTTTCTTAAGACAACGTCTCCCAAAGATGAGAACTTGTAGACCCAGGAATATACAAGGGACTTCAAATAGTTCATGGAAAGATTTGTATTTTTTTTTGGTGGCTGGCCAGTGCAGGGATCCAAACCCTTGACCTCGGTGTTATCAGCACCAAGCTCTAACCAAGTGAGCTAACCAGCCAGCCCCCATATTATCTTTTAATTCCATTTTTCCATGAACTTTTAAAAGTACGCTTGTATTCACAGACATCCATAAAAACTAGAGACTTTTTTTCCCAAAGCAATGATTCTAAAATTTATTTGGGGCTGCCCAGATAGCTCAGCTGGTTACAGCATGGTGTTATAACATGAAGGTCAAGGGTTCAGATCCCCACACTGGCCAGCTGCCCAAAAAATAAATAAATAAAATAATAATAATAATAAAATTTATTTAAGCAGTGGACTGCCTGGAAGTCATGGAGCTCTTTGCAGAATTCCACGAAAATATTAATACACACAAGTTAAAATAATGGAAGATACAATATTGTGCAAAATCTAGGTTCTATATCTGCCCAGTCCAATACAGTAACCACTAGGTGCATGTGGCTATGTATATTTAAATTAATTAAAATTAAATACAATTAAGAATTCAATGGGCCGGCCTGTGGCTCACTCGGTAGAGTGCGGTGCTGATAACACCAAGGCCACGGGTTCGGATCCCATATAGGGATGGCCGGTTCGCTCACTGGCTGAGCGTGGTGCTGACAACACCAAGTCGAGGGTTAAGATCCCCTTACCGGTCATCTTTTTAAAAAAAAAAAAAAAAAAAAAAAAAAAAAAATTCAAGGGCTGGCTAGTTAGCTCAGTTGGAATGGGTTTGGTTCCCTGCACGGGCCAGCCAGCAAAAAAAAAAAAAAAAAGAAAGAAAGAATTGAGTTACTCAGTCGCATTAGCTTCACTTCAAGTGCTCAACAGTCACATATGGTTCGTGACTACCATATTGGACAGTGCAGACAGAGAACATTCCACACCATCCCAGAAAGTTCTATTGCATGGTGCTATTGTAGATTCTTTCATAGTTGTGTGGTAGTATGCAACAATGGGCTTAAGAAGAAATTACGGAAAAAAAGCTTGGCTGGGAAAATTCCATTCAATGACTTTACATTTGTCTAAATTGGGGGGAAAATTCTGTCAATCAGTTTTAGTTGGGCAAAAACTAAGTGCTGGTCAAAGAGGTCCAGCCGCTGAAACATGGTTTGCTAAGCACTGCTCTACAGGCTGAACCTTCAGGGCTCTTTTCAGACAGATCTTTGTTGTTCAAAACCCAGATGCGTGGGTTGTCCTTCCATTCCTCCTTGAGGAATCAATGCCAAATGACTCATATTATCTCTTCTATCAGGGATTTATGGATCTGACCTAAATCCCTCAAGCTGCAGTTGCTGATTGCTTTGCCACATTCCAGCCTTTAGCAGGAGGTGATAGCTAACTAGTCCTTAAGCAGCAGTAGAAAACTAGAAAATTAGAATGCATTAGTTACTACAATAACAGGAACCACCATAAAGTTACAAATTCTTTCTGGTGTTTTTTTTTTTTTTTTGGTGGCTGGCCAGTATGGGGATCTGAACGCTTGACCTTGGTGTTATAACACTGCACTCTAACAGTTTCTGTTCTTTTTTAAAGACCAAAAACCATTATTGTTCCTCTAGGAAAACACGGAAGCTACAACTTTTAAGACAGGAAAAGACACTTTGCCTTACTCCCAGCTGCTTGGGTAGCTTTCACACATGCATTTTAGGAGATAAATAAAGAAGAAAATTCAGGAGGCTGGTCCAACTCAAGAGCCCAAAGGCCAAAACAGAATCAAGTGCAGATTTCATTTTAAAGTATCCGGACTATAGGGTCAAAGTGTGGAAGTGAAATAATGATATGAGCAACTGTGGCTTGGAGTCCTACTTCACTATGGCCAGAGATGAGATCACTTTAATCCACCATCCCACCACCAAGTGATGTTCACCCAGTCTCCTCCTTACCTCCTGGGGAGGGCTGGGAGGAGGTGGCAGGCATCTTGGGTTGATGGCAGGTTTGGGGGGGATATACTCAGTCACAGCCATCAGCTTCTGCCTCTCAAAGTGCATCACACGACGGTGGCGGGTAACAGCTTTGGAGCCATAGCGAACAGACTGGTGGGTGGGCAGCCGGCCTGGGAGGGGAGATGGCAACACAGTGAGATGCAGCCTCTTGGAGGCCCTAGTTTGCACCAGATGGTGAAAAAGCACCCCACTCTGGGCGGAGACAACTGCAGCTCACATAGCTAGACTCAGCAGAAGAGTGGGACAAGGAATTGCCTGCCAGAAAGCCTGAATTCCCAAACCTTCTCTTCTCTTTTAATGGGTGACCTTAGGTCAGTTGCTTGATCCCTTGAGGCTGCCATTTCTCCCCTCTTCTTTATGTGTACAGATGGGAGAAAAATAAGAACAAAGGAGAAAGCATTTTTAAACACACTATAAAAAAAGGGGAGAGGGTTGAACAAACTTTTTTTTAAGTAGCCAAACAGTAAATATTTTAAGTTTGGGGACCATATGGTCTGTCACTACCACTCAACTCTGCTCAAAGCGGCCACAAACAATATATAAACAAATAGATGAGGCTATGTTTCAAGATAACTTTATTTAGAAAACATGGTGACCAGTCCCACCATAACATACCAACCTCTGGTATAAGCCAGTGGTTCTTGAATTTTGCCCACCCCCACCCCAACCAGCAACATCAGCATCATCTGGGACTTTTTAGAAATACAAATTCTCAGGCCCTGCCATAGACCTACTGAATGAGAAACACTGGGGTGGGACCCAGAAAATGTTTTAATATACCCTCCTGGTGATGCTAATGCATGCTGAAGCTTGAAAACCACAGCTCTAACCACTGCTCTGAGGCCTTTTCCTATGAGTTGAAGCAAAAGGGAAAACATTTACACCATCCTCACAGCTGTCTTAGACAAGCCTCTTTCCTCTTCTCTTCTTGTTTACAGGCAATGCTGGAGAGATCCCTCCACTCAAAAAACAAGGAGATACTCAAAAGCCCTGAGCCAAAGTGACCCCTTCATCCTCAAGACAAGGGTCAAGACTAGAGCTTCCCACTTTCAGTCCTTCCCAACGCTGGATGGGACCTCGGGAAAAGGTTCAGCTAGAAGGTGGCTGTAACAGTCAGAGAGCATGTAGATTTGCTGCAGTAACAGGCTTTATAGCCAGCGGCCACAACACCTGTTAAGAGTGCAGGCTTTGGAATCAGGTGGAACTGGATTTTAATCTCTCTTCTGCCACTTACTAGCTGTGACCTTGACTAGTTACTAAACTGGTCTGAACTTCAGTTTCCTCATCTGTAAAGAAGGGGTGATAATGCCTTCCTCATAGTGCCTTTAAGATTTAAATGAGATAATACATGTAAAACATTTATAACAGTGCCTGGCTTATATTAAATGCTCAAATCCATTCATTAAACAAATATCTATTGCATGCCTACTAACATCAGGCACCATGCCCTCTGCTGGCCATGCCCAATGAACATGGTTTGGCTCTTATGGAGTTTAAAGTCTAACAGAGGAAACAAGTGAATAAACCGCATGCAAAATTACAGCTTGTGATGGGGCTAAGGGGTGTAATTTGTAACAAATTTACTGGGGAAACATTCTTTGCAGAGAGTGGCGAGGGAAGGCCCGAGGAGGTGACACTTAGGCTGAGACCTTAAGAAGGAGGCATAATTCAAAGGTCCGGGAGTGGTCTGAGCATAGTAAACTCTGAATGCGGGCAAGAGCTGGGTGATGGGTTAGAAAAACCCAAGAAGGCACGGGAGCTGGAACGTAGGGAATAAATCCTGTTGTTGACGTTGCTGCGTTGATTACCAGAGTCTGGAGTCAGAAGGAATCGGATGGGGTAAGGAAGCCAGCGATCTAGCTGGGATCAGGAGTCACCGGCAGCTCTCTGGGGTCAAAGATTACGGGAAGGATCAGCAGCAAAGAGGGGAGACAAGGACCAGAGCGCGCCGACCCGACGCGCTGTGAGGACTTGAGTCGCGCCTTACCCGCCTGGGGCAGGAACCCCGCTAGCAGCATCCCAGCCACGGCCGCAGTCATCTCCACCGGAAGAACAGGCGAGAGCCGAGCGGAGACGGAAGAAGCTAAGGATTGTGGGGCAGCGAGCCCCAGGACCGGAAGCTGGGGGCCGACCCGCCGGCTGGAGCAGTAATCCGCATGCGCTGAGCCGGGCCACTGGAGCCCGCCCCATCCTGGCGTCCGGTCTCCTAGCAACGACGCCAGAATCCTAGGAACGGCTTTTTTCTAACCGCTCCTGCCCACAGCGCCCGTTTGCTGCCAGCAAAGACCCTACACACCGCTCAAACCCCACCTGGATTTAAGTTTGTCTTCGGCCCCGCCGTCAACAGTTTGCTCCGAATCAACCCCTTTCCCTTGCCTCCCACGTCTCTAAGCGTCTCTCTTCTTGACATCCTTAGTTCCGCCATCCCTAGCGACCGGCCAAGCTGCCCGGTTCCTCTTTCTTCGTTCCCCTCCCGCCTCAGGCCAGCAGCCTTTTATTTTAGATAATGCCTGGCGGTAAGTAGTGAGGTGTCATGGTGGATAGGACAGTTGGACAACAGTGGGATCTGACCTCCAAAAATGAGGAAATGTGACAATTGCAACCATCTTTTCACAGGTAAGCTTGCCCAGAGTTCAGAGGAAGGGGGCGTCTGCATTACTGAAGCCCTTATCACTAAGCGGAACTTGACCTTCCCTGAGGATGAGGATCTGTCAGAGAAGATGTGCGTGCACGGGGGAGGAAAGGGGTGCTGGAAGGTTGAAATTCACAGGATGACCATTTCCCTGAGATGTACTGACATGCCAACTCATCTTTTTCTTTCTTTACTTACTCCACACATCCAATCAGTGGTAATGTCTGTATTAGTCCGTTTCTGTTGCTTATAACAAAATACATGGAACTGGGTAATTTGTAAGACAGTTAAATTTATTGCTTACAATTTCGGAGGCTGAGAAGTCTACAGTGCAGGTAACACATCTGTTGAGGGTCTTGGTGGTGGCGACAGTGACCTAGGAGTCTCACATGGCAGAAATGGTGGAGCAGAGAGAGACTAACCTCCTCATTCATTCTCTTTTTAAAGCCCTTAGAACCACACTCTGACCACCATTATTAACCCATTCACTATGGCATGGTCCTACAATTTAATCACCTCTCCAAGGCCCCACCTTTCAATTACCATAATAGGATTTCCCACCCTCTGAACACTGTCACAGTGGGAATTAAGCTTCTAATATATGAACTTTGGGGGACACAATTCAATCAGTCTACAGCAAGGTCCAGTTGATTTTTCCTCCTTAAAAACCATTCTATTTCCTTTTCACCATTCTAACTCAACTGCCTTAGATAAGGCTGTCATCACCTCTCAACAAACTCCTAAGTAGTCTCTCTGCCCCCAGTCTGACCTCCTCATACTATTGCCAGAGCAATCCTTTTATTTATTTATTTATTTTAATTTATTTATTTTAAAGATGACCGGTAAGGGGATCTTAACCCTTGACTTGGTGTTGTCAACACCACGCTCTCCCAAGTGAGCCACAGGCTGGCCCTCCAAGCAATCTTTTTAAAAGACAAACCTAGGGTCTGGCTGGTTAGCTTGTTTGGTAGAGCATGGTGCTGATTTTACCCCTGTACTGGCCAGTGAACAAAAAATAAAAATTAAAAAAATAAAAAAAAGACAAATCTGATCAGTCATCCCCTGATAGAAATTTCCTTGGCTCCCTACTGCCTCCAGAATAAGATCTAAATGCCTTAGCATGAATTGACCTCTGGTATCTTTTCAGCCTTATTTCCAGCCATTCTCCACAAGAGTGCAATTTCTCATACCATGTTCTAACACTTTAGCACCTGAATACTCAGTGGGGGGTGGGGGGAAGCAGCACTGGCATCACCCAGGGGCTCGTTAGAAATGAAGAATCTCAGCCCAACCCAGACCTACTGAATCAGAATCACATTTTAATGACCCCCAAGGGATCATGAGCACATTAAAGTTCAAGAAAGGCTGGATTAGCACATACTATTTGTTCTGCTTAAAATGCCTTCTCCCACCCACCTCCCATCTTCATAGCTAACTCCTACTCGTCTGTCACCTCCTCCAGGAAGCATTCCCTGATACACCTACTCTTGACTTGGTGCACAGACCATGTACTCCCTTAGTCCCTGTACTTGCCTCTGTCATCCACTTGTCATAGATGTTTAGCCTGCTTCCCTAATAGTGATGGGCAGGGTCTCTGTCACTTGTCTCTAGTAGGCACTCAGTAAATGTTGCAGAATTAATGTATGGGTGGATGGAACAAGTGATTGTCCCTTCAGGGACCATGCAAAAGGCAGGTGAAGAAGGATCTTCCTGCAGAGATTGTCTCATCTCTGTCCCCATCCCTGCCTCCACCATGCAAGCTGGCCTGAGGAAAGCTTCTCTTGCTTCTGAATCTCTCCAGGAACCATGAGCTGCCATCACCCAGTTTCCTAGAGGGCCCCTACTCCTCCCTCACTCTGATCCTTCCCAGTGCTACTGACAGATCCAGGTCTCTACGTCAGGCCAGTTTCATGATGTAGACACCACTTCATGAGTCAAGAAGCTATTCCTGACATCTGATCAAAATCACAGGCATCGGGCTGGCCCGGTGGCGCACTGCTACAGTGCGCCGCTTGGGAGTGCGGCGGCGCTCCCGCCGAGGGTTCGGATCCCACATACAGACCGGCCGCTCACTGGCTGAGCAAGGTGCGGGTGCAACACCGAGGGTTGCGATCCCGTTGCTGGTCCCGGTCCGGTACGGGCGCGACACTGAGGGTTGCGATCTGTTGCCGGTCACGAAAAAAGACAAAAAAAAAAAATCACAGGCACCTACCCCCTTTGGAAACACCTTCCCTCCTCCTCCCCCCATCTTCCCTGCTAAGAGACCACAGAAGTGGTGCTCTACGATAACACCCTGCTGTCTGTTCTCCCAGGTTTCACACTCTTGCAGAACTAGAGACCGTCCGCCTGGACCGGGAGGGGATTACCACTATAAGAAACTTAGAGGGCCTCAAGAATCTTCACAGTCTCTATCTGCAAGCGGTAACTTCTTGCCCTCTCCACCCCCCTGCCCTTCCTATTCCCTCAACCCGTGGTCCACATCTGTCTAATCTGGAAGGAGCCAACCAGGTGATCTTGGCCATTCCCTGGTGTTCAGGCAGACAGACCTTCATTTAAACCATTCCCAGATAAATCAAGAATTCTCCTGAATTGAAAGCCTGATCCCCCCAAAGAAATCCTGAACATGCTCTTGAATCACTGTTCACTAGTCAGATATTTCTCTTAGTCTAGAAGTTCTTAGTGTCTACCCTAAATCTTTCATGTATAGCTTGAGCCCATTTCTTGATTTGATGAAGAGGAAGAGGAGACTATGAAGATTCCTCTACACCCTTCAGCTCCTTGAAGGCCGTTTGTTAGTGTTGGTGGTTCGTTGATCTTCAGCCTTCCCCGAGTTGATACACCCAGCTCCCTGAAACTTTCCCCACATAAACTTCACTCATTGTTCCCTCTGCATATGCAAGCCACCACCAAGGCCTTTTCCATTTCCCTAGTGGCCCCTTGGCTTCCTTCTCTGATTGCCAGGACACTCTGGTTATGAGATCAGAAGAGTACACATTAATCAAGTTTAGCCAGCCCAAGTTTACACCCTTAACCATCCACCTGGAGAAAGCAGGTCATCTTTCCTAAGGTGGTAACAACCAGTTCAAGGAGCGGAGTGATCAATCCAAAGTGCCAGGTCTCCAGCCGCAAGAGTAGATGTGGTCTTGGGGCTTTGACCCCTTAAAGGGATCCCACCCAGCTGACCTCAGCTTGGTTTTCCTACCTTGGTTTCTTCCTACAGAATAAGATCCAGCGCATTGAGAACCTGGCTTGTATCCCCTCCTTGCGGTATGTGGTGCCAGGGCTTAGGCAGGGGTGGAGGGGAAGGGGGGAACCTGGCAACATCCCAAGAAATGGTTCAGATCTTCCAAGCCTGGCTCCTTGTCAGCCGAGGACCCGGCAAGCCTAGCTCTGCTTTGCTCACCCCAGAAGGCCATGTGTCCCCACCTGTCATCCAGCTGCCTGGCCAGGGGGCCCAGGTGCCTGGTGTCCTCCTCCTCTCCTCTAGCTGTTCTGTGATTCACCTCTGTCTCTGCACCCCATCCTTCTCCTACAGCTTCCTGTCCCTCGCAGGAAATCGAATCAGGCAGGTGGAAAACCTCCTTGACCTCCCGTGCCTCCAGTTTCTGGACCTTTCTGAGAACTTGATAGAAACACTGAAGCTGGGTAGGAACGCCCTTGCCCTGACTCAATGAACAAGTCCTATGTGGGGCCTCTGTCCCCGTCTCCCTGTACTTGCATTAACCACTACCCGCCATGTACCCACTTCAGCCTCAGGAGGTACGGGGGCTGTGCAGAGAGGTAGTGACTTTGGCCTGGAAGATGGGTATGAGAACCCCATTATCCCCCACTTTGCTGTGTGCAGATGAGTTCCCCCAGAGCCTTCTCATCCTCAACCTGACTGGAAACAGCTGCACCAAACAGGATGGCTACAGGTGAGGAGGGACTGAGGGTGGGAAAAAGGAGGTGATGGCTAAGTTCCACCTGCGAACTCCACATGGCTCCCTCTCAGCCTGGACGCCTGGGGTCACCATCCATCACGCCTTCTCCCCTGCCCCCTATAGCTCAAGTCAGCCCCTGTTCCCCTTCCTCCCCAGCACTCCACAGGAGCCAGCCCTTAGCTCTGGGGGTGACCCCAGGCCCCATCTCCTAGCTCAGGGCCATCTCCCCTCCAGGTGTGGGTGCTGTGGTGTGTGTCTTTGTGTCCTCCCAGGTTCCACACCAGGGTGCCCTCCTGGGTAGCCTCTGCTCTTTCTGCCCTGCAGGGAGCTGATGATTAAAGCCCTGCCACTGCTCCTGGACCTGGACAAGCAGCCTGTGTTGGAGCGCTGGGTCTCCGACGAGGAGGATAAAGCCTCAGGCGATGAGGACGAGGAGTTCCCAGAGCTGAGTGGCCCATTCTGCTCAGAGCGAGGTGACCCTGCTTTCCAAGGCTTGCAGCCTCTCCAGAGCCCACCCCTGTCCTGTGGGGCATGGGGGGAAACTAAGATGGCAGAGATGTCTGGGGAGGTGGCCCTAAGCCCAGATCAGTCCTGGGCATGTAGGTGACTCATCCCTCCCTACCCCTAGCCCCAGGCTCCTCCACACTACAGAGAGCAGGGATCAGCCAGGGACCTTCTCCCTGAGCCCGGGGGCCCTCCTGCTGAGCCTGGGGCTCCATCTGACCTCTACCCTCTACTGCACTGGCCCCTCACAGGCTTCCTCAAGGAGCTGGAGTGTGACAGAAGGTTGCACAAGGAGCGCAGGCAGCAGGAGGCCCTCGCAGAGCACCTTCTGAGGATGGAGACAAAGCCCGCCCTCACTGACCTGCCCCTGTTGCCTGGGGTGCCCATGGCTGGGGACAGCAGCCCTTCCATCACTCCTGGGCAACGGAAGGAGACACCCCCTGAGGCTGCCTCCTCACCCCAGACCTCCTCTCCCACCAAGAAACCATGTACGCTGGTTCCCAGGGGCCAGCAAAACTCCATCCAGGCAAAGAAGGGGGCCCAAGCAGCCTTAGCCCCTAAGCCCTCTGTGGCTGGGGCTCCCAGTACAACCAAAACTATGACCAAAAAAGTCAAGAAATGAAGTGCGGCCTGTCTCGGTGATGGAGTGGAGGGGCCTCCCCTCCGCAGACCCCTCACTCATCTCCAATAAAGTGTCTCTAGGCCGTGCACATGCCTTTCATGTTACTCGGGGCACCTCAGGGGAGCAAACAGTAAAAGCACTGGGAGACAGAGCACCCAGAGCCTGAACAAGCAGCCTGGTACTGAAGGATAAGTCTCTGATGGCTCCCCGGCTCCTGATACCATCTCAGGATGGGCACCTCTCACTGCCACCCCCGGGAGTGCCCATACCAGCTCCAAGCCAAGGACCAAAACCTGGGGTCCTAATCCCCCCCATGGTAGCCAGCTGCTGCACAAGCATAATCCTCAAGCAGACACTCAGGCACCAGTAGGGAGGCTCCCTGTGCTACAGGCCCCTCCACAACCTTTCTGTCTAGCTCAGTTGGTTACAGTGCAGCTTCGTAACACCAAGGTCAAGGGTTCGGATCCCTGGCCAGCTGCCAAAAAAAAAAAAAAAAAAAATTTGCTGCCTACCTGAACAACCACAGACCCTGCAGCTGGCTCAGGGCTGCCCTTTGCCCTCACTTGGCTCTCCCACCCCACTGGACCTGGGATCAAGTTCACTGAACAAGGAAAGAAAACACATTTATTAAGGCAAAGGCCGAGCTGGCCACTCAAAACACGCCTGAGGGGTGTGAAGGGATTGCTCTGATCCCACCACCCTAGCTCAGGGCAGTTGGCCCCTAGGGGTCCCATGTGCCCTGCCCGAGGCTAAGAGGAGCTGCAGTACTTAGGCATAGGCCTGGCTCTCCCTCTCCACGAAGGCCTGGAAGAGGCCACCCAGCTCCTGGGGGGTTGGGGTCCACTTGCCAGCCAGCAGTCTCTGAGCAGCCTCCAGGCCTTCCTGCTCCAGATCCTGCTGCTTCTGCTGGAGCTGCTGTCCCAGATCCTGCCCAGGAAAGGCAGAGATGAGATTGCCTGGAACAGGCTTCCCTCTAAGTGAAGGGGGGAATGTGAGAAATTTGGCACAAGCGGGAGAATGGAAAGGCCACCTGGCACTCCCCTGAGCAGCTAGCTTTGCAGGGAGGGACCCCTCTCCCTAGCTCTGGAGTCCCTCCTCTATGCCCAGGTCCCCTCATGTGTCCGTAGTCCTAGTTGGGAGTCAAGGAGGTGTGCAGTCCCTCCAGGGTAGCCCCCTGTTCTCTGGGGGTTACCTGCTCACTCTCCATCAGCCTCAGGGCCGCCTGGTGTCCACGGTAGAGGGAGTGCCGGCGATCCACCTGAGTCTTGAATCGGGGCAGGGTCCGAACAGGGTCCTGTGCTCCAAAAGTGGGGGACAGTACCTGGGGGGCTTGGGCCACCCCCACCCCAAAGATGAAAGGTTTGAACACTGACCTAATGGGACACAGATGGATGGACTGAGGTTTATCACATCTCCCCTGCCCAGTACACCCTCCCCAGCCTCTCCACCCGCCAGCCCATTCTCACCTGGATGGGTCCGGTGTGGCCGTGAGGAAGTGGACACAGGGCTGCGTGGGATCCTGAGGCAGGATAGACACCATGCTGGCTGTGGTGCGGAAGCCTCCGGAGTCCATACAGATGCCACTCTCCTTGTTCCTGAGGATGCCCATCATCACCTCTGCTGTGATGGCTCCTGCCAAGCGGGAGAGGGTGAGGGCCCCTGGACAGAGGGGGGAAGCTGTGGAAGGGCTGTGGGAGAGCAGCTGGCACAGCTGTGGCCCTCCCAGCCCCACCCCTCCACCACGCACTGACCTTGCTGTTGCTGCAGCAGCTCCCGCCCAGCCTGGAAGCGGGCCTTGGCAGCCTCCATGCGCACGGGCTGCTGGGTCAGGGAGAAGACCTGAGCAAAGTCAAAAGGGCCCTGCCCGCTCCACCAGCCCTGGGCCCGGGCATGGGCCTGAAGCTCCGCGTGTTGAGCCGAGATGTCTGTGCCAATGCTCAGCTGGTTGGAGATGTTTCGGGCCCCCTCTGTGGAGGAGATGGGGAATTGCTCATTTATCATTAAGCACCTACCACAATGGGGAAGAGCATACATAGGCTCCCTCATGGAGCCTACAGTGTGGTGGGGGAGATGGACAAAGTAATCATAGAGATAAATGCATGCTTGCAACTGTGGTGATAGCGATGAAGAGAAGGACCCGCGTGCAGATAAAGGGGAAGCGTGGCCAAGTCCAGGAAGCTTCCCAGAGGAAGCCGCAGGCGGAAGCATAAGGACTTAACCAAATGAAGGGAAGGAGAGTTGCTGAATGGGCTCATTTCCCATCTCCCTGGATGATCCGACACGTTTGCACCTGGATTGGCCCCTCCCTGCCCCCATCATCTCTCCCACCTCCAAGGGCTGGCAAAGGGACACCTCTGGGAGGTGGACCCCAGTGCTGAGCCCTCACCCTGGATCCTCTGTGCAGCCCACAGCTTCCCAGCCGTCTCCAGCACCCACGCCTCGGCCCGGTCAGCCAGCAGGAATGTGTTGTGGTAGCAGAATGGTGAGGGGTCCTCCCGACAGCTGCCCCCCTGCCCATAGCGCTCCAGCAAGCCTGTGATCACACGTAAGGCCTCCCGGGCAGAGCTGCTCCTTTCTAAAGCCAGCCTGGCAAATAGAGAGGTCCAGGGGACAGAATGGGAATTGGGGTATCAGTAGCTGCTGGCAGAAGCTCTAGTGGACAGAAGGGGCCCAGAGAGGTTTGGTGACAGGCCTAGGTCACACAGCAAATCCACTGGCACTAATCTTATTAAATACAATAACGCCTGTGGTTTTCAAGCTGTGCCCCAACCTCTCTTCCATAAGAGCTGCTCCATTTTTATCTGTTTTATAAACTGGGATTCTACACATGATTTCAATTGAAAAAAATTTACAACTGTTGGAAAAAATTTTTTTTTTCCTTTTTGTCTTTTCTCGTGACCGGCAACGGATCGCAACCCTCAGTGTTGTGCCTGCACCTCGCTCAGCCAGTGAGCGGCCGGTCTGTATGTGGGATCCGAACCCTCGGCGGGAGCGCTGCCGCACTCCCAAGTGGCACACTGTAGCAGTGCACCACCGGGCCGGCCTGGAAAAAAAATTTTTTTAACTGCTGCCCTATTTCTGGTCCAGGAGAGGCCCAAAGATGACCACATTTGAAGGATCGTTATCAGACTGTGGAAATGGGGCCAGTAGAGAGGAGGGGCAGGGCAGCCTCCCCCGTGAGGGCACGAGGGCAAGGTCAGCAGAGAGGAAGCTCCTGTGAACTAGGCTGGGGTAGGGGAGGATGAGGCCAGGTCCAGACTCAGCCCCTAGATTTCTGGTGTGGAGTTGAGGAGGGCGGGGTCCACACCTGAGGAGGTCCATGCCCAGTAGGGCTTCCCCCTCCCCAACTGGCTCCTTAGTCCACACGGCCTCGTTGCCAATGCAGACACCATGTTCGTTGGCACCCATCTCAGCTCCCCACAGCCAAGAAGGGCGGCTCAGGATCACAGCATGTGTCTCCGACACCTGTTCCACCTCAATGTAGGTGCACTAGAGATAAGGGAAGAGAAAGGAAGTCACTTAGAAAGGGGGCAGCACCTACAACATGCTGGCACTTTGCCAATCACCTTACACGTGCTTTTGAGGAAGGCCTTGTTCCCATTTTACAGATGAGGAAACTAAGGTCGACAGAGACTGAAAAGGCTCGAGGTCTAGACTGGCAGACCTGAAGCTCATGCTCTCTTCACTATATGTGGCAGCCTCCCAGGTGTGGGGAGCAGGGGAAGGAGGTCTTAGAAGAAGCCTAGATGGGGCCGGCCCATGGCTCACTGGGAGAGCGTGGTGCTGACAACACCAAGTCAAGGGTTACGATCCCGTTACCGGTCATCATTTTTTTTTTTTTTTAAAAGAGGAAGCCTAGATCGACCACACCTCCCAGAACCCCATAAGGCCTAACCCACCTGAAGCCGGCTCCCAGGGGTGTGAGTGCCTGCTGGCACAAACACCACCTCCTGCACCTCGTCCCGGGGTCGGTCCGAGTTCTTGGCAAAGATCACGGCTGGGATGGCGGAGGCTGGGGGTACGGAGACAAAGCAGTCGCAGGAACAGGGGGCGTCAGGGCTCGACAACGCCATCTGGAGAGAGGAGGAGATGAGTGTGTCCCTCCCATGCCACCTCCCCACAGTCCTGGCCACGGCTCAGTCCGAAGGAGCCGCCTCCCCCGACACGTGCAGACAGGGAAGCCCCTGCGGGCTCCGGGGCGCTCGGCGCGCACACTCGCTGCACGGCGTGCGCTGACGGAGGCGCATCTCTCCCCAAGCTCCGGGCTCGGGAGTCAGCAGACGGGCGCAGACCCTGCGCGCTCCGAGGGTCCTGCCCCTACTGGGAGTCCCGGCCCTTCCGGGCAGCTGTGGGACCGTCGCCCTCGCTACGCCACCCCTCTCCCGAGTCCCACGCTCCTGCGCATGCCCAGAGACCCGCACCTCTTCCGTCCACCCCTTCTCGAGTCCCCAATACTGGATTCTTCTCACCCTCTTCTCCCTTTAACATCCGCACCTTGGTCCCGGGCGCCACCTCCTCTGCTTCAGGTCTGCTCAGTCCCATTGGGCGGAGGCTCCCAGGTGACCTAGAAGGCCTTTGGCCCCGGGGGCCGAGCCGGAACAGAGCACCTGCAGTTCCGCCGTTTTCCACCAGAGTGCGCGCTAGTACCGCTTCTCGGAGCAGAGCGGCCTTCCAAGTCCCACCTGGCTCCCTGCCCTGCCCGTGCTCCCTTTTCAGGACTGATAAAGGCTGGGACGGATCTGCGGGCTCATCCAGGGGGGTCATTGCGGGGAACTGGAGCTCGAACGGGGATCGGGGAGGAAAGGAGCCCGCGTGAAAAGGAAGGCTTTTGTCAGAGAGCAGGGACTGCTTGGGCACCTGGAGATTAAGGGAGAACCTAGCTACCTGAGTTCTGGTTTGAATCACGAAGGCGCAATCCCAGGCTGGGGCCCCTGGTAAGAAAATACATAAGCGTGGTTGCAAGCCAGGAGGTGTAGAGATAACTCAAGTTAATGCATTTTTTAAAAAGGCACATATGCACAAAACCTATCTGACTCCAAAAGGCCTATTCTGCCCCGTAGTGCTCAAACTCATAGGAAGATAGCTTTGAAAGGAAATTCAGAAATTTCCAGTCCAAAGATTTGATGCCTTTACATATAGTGAAACTGAGACAACAGAGGAGAAGTCTTGGCCAAGGGGTACAACAATGGTGTGGAGGTGGATTCTGATCCCAGATGTTCTGATTTCCAGTTCATTTCCTCTATAAACCACTTCCATAACCAGCATCTAAGCAAATTAATCTTACACCATTTTGCTCTGCAAAGCCCTCCAGGAAGGGGAGTGGGAAGGTGCCACCGGTTATCCACTTCCAGGGATTGCATTGAATCTGTAGATTACTTGTGTAGTTGGACATTTTAGCAAGACTAATTCTTCCAATCCATGAACGTGGAATATCTTTTCATTTATTTGTTTGTTTTGTTTTTTTGCGTTTGTTTGGTGGATGGCCAGTAAGGGGATTGCAACCCTTGACTTTGGTGTTACAAGGCTGAGCCCTAACCAACTGAACCAACTGGCCAGTCCCCTCTTTTCATTTATTTGTGTCTTCCATTTCTTTCATCAATATCTTATTGTTTTCAATGTACAGATGTTTCACTTCCTTGGCTAATTTATTCCTAAATATTAAACATTTTGGTAGCTATCATAAATGGGATTGTTTTCTTGATTTCTCTTTTAGTTAGTACGTTGTTAGTGTATAAAAAACACTACTGAGGGCTGGCCGGTTAGCTCAGTTGGTTAGAGCACAGTGTTATAACACCAAGGTCAGTGGTTCGGATCCCCATACCAGTCGGCTGCCAAGGGAAAAAAAAAAAAAGAATTGTAAAAAACACTACTGATTCTTGTGTATTGATTTTGTATCCTGTGACTCTACTGTAATTGTTTATTAGTTCTAACAGTTTTTCTGCAGAGTTTAGTTCCTGAGGTTCTTTTCATGCCTGCATTGTTAGGAGGCTGGGCAGTTGGGCACACTGGAATTAATGGGAAGGTGAAGGCCGCTTCTGGTGCAGTGTCAGGGAGGGGTTGTAGTTGTCATTGGATGTCATTGTAGAAGCAAACCTCAAGGTCGTGTGCTGACAAACATGGGCACCCGGAGTGGCCTGCGGGAAAGCCGGCTCACCTCCTGCACTTCCCCGGCTGCCCGCTGTGGGGCGGGAACAAGCTGGAGGAGAGACTCAGCGAGGCCAAGCGCAGCACCTCCCCCGCCCACCCCCAGGCTGCAATTCTCATGCTTCCTTCTTCTGTCACTTTCCCATTCCGGATTTCATTCACCCACCCCAGAGGGATTTTACTCCCACTTCCCAGTGGCTCAGAGGTCGCTCAGAGTCAACCCAGATGTTCTGATTTCCCTAACTCCCTCCTGGCCCCTCTAAGATTGTCCTGCCAGAGTGCCACATCTGCGGGGTCAGAGGTGGCCTTGGGCTCCATCAGGGGGGCCAGGCCAGCCAGGCAGCATTGCAAGCAATCAAGCAAGCAAGCATCAGAGCCCCACCAAAGGCCCCCACTAAGAATGCAGGTCAGTGGGAGGAGCTGCACGGAGAGGAGGGGCGGCCCCAGCCCTGCCCAGACAGGCCCAGCCGGCCCCACAGCTGCCCTCCTGTCCCTGGGGGCAGCCATGGGGGGAAGAGGAGGAGGGGACTCACCAGGCTGCTGGGGTCTAACTTCCCCAGAACTAGGAAGATGAAAAAAGACGGTGCCTGCAGGAGGGGCAGGCATGAGATCACAAGAAAACACGCATGTTCCCCCCATCCTCCTAGGCTTCTAAATGCAGGAGCAGATGGAAACAAATAATGACCTCTGCCCACCCCCCAAACTGGTCTGTAACCCCTAAATCATTCTGATTCCCCCATCCCAAGGTGGCCTTCAACTTTGTGACCTCAGAATTTCCCAAAAAGTGATGGGATGGGCCAACCTGAGTACCAGATTTGGCTCTGAAAAAATCAGGCTAGGGTTAAAGTGAAGGAAATAGGAATCCCACTAGGGCAAAATAATAATTTTGGCAAAAAAAGTAGGATGGAAAGGTGAAAGAACACAGTTGTCTTCCCTTGCCCCTGTGAAGCCAAAAACTGATCCTCCGTCAACCTTCCTGGCTTTAGGGTTCTGGAGTCGTGAGGTTTTTAGTCATTTGACATGAATTAGGCACCATCTGTGTGCCAGGCATTGGGCAGCTGGGGAAAATGTGTGCAGATGGCTACTTGTGCATATCTCTGAGGGTGGCCGCGCGATGGGTCCAGTGAGGCTGTGTTTGTGCACGGCGTGTTGTGTAACTGTGGCAGGTCTCTGGCTGGGAGTTGCTGGAGGAGCCTTTCCCTCATACTTTCCAGCTGGGCGGGAGCCCATCAGATATCTTGGCTGCCTTTCATCGCCTTGTCCCTGATAGGAATCATCTTGGGTGAAGAAATCACTGTCAGTCACCCCCACTTCACTCACAGCCAGAGGGACCTAGTGACATGCACACCCCCATTGTCCTGCCAGAGTGCCACATCTGCGGGTGCAACGAGGGAGCCAAGAGGCTGGCTATGTCTGGGAAGGGAGGGAGCAGTGTCCTTAGCAAAGGAGGGGTTTGTATTTGGAGGAGGAAGGAAATATCTAGAAACTTCTCATTCCCACGGGTGAGTGAAGACCGGGAGGGACAGCCCAGCTATCAACCCAGAGGGAGCTCCTCCCTTCTTCTGCACCAGCCATGTCCAGGACAGGATCAGACCCCAGCTCTGACCCAACTAAATGGAGGTGAAGCTGCCAGGGGCTGCAGGATCAAAGGGAAGTGTCTGCCCCACCCCACAGCCCAGACCTGGTCCTCACTACTGAGGGACACTGAGTCAAAAAGGAAAGCGAGCTAGAACACAAATGAAGCAATGATGTGGTTGATGACTTTATTGCTGCATAAAAAACAGGCCGTTTCTTCCTCCTCCTCCCCCCCAAAGTGGGTTCACAGCAGTTAAAGAAAAAAAAAATTCCTACATTTTTCCTCTAGGGGGGCTGCCTAGAAGGGCAGGCAGCCAAGCAACCTAGATCTATAAAAGAGGGGAGCAGAAGAAAACCTATCCAAAGCCCCTACCCACATACCTTAAGGCTTGGGGCCCCTGTAGGGGGGAACACCATTTCCCCCCACCCACCAACACCCATTTGGGAGTTCCCCTTAGAATGGTCACTGGAAAAGGCTGTCTTGGTGGCACAAGGAGGAGGTGGCTGGTTTCGATGGGTGGAGGAGAAAGGCATCCCACACCCACGGTGCCCTCCTTTCTCTCCCCCCCACAGCCTAGCCAGGCACCTTGCAGGCACTGCTAACTCTCCTCCTGCCCCCAATCCTCTCAGCAAGGAAGGGGACCTCTGGTAGGGTTAACAGGAGGTATGGAATAGAGGGAGAATAAAGAAAGAACATTACTTCTTATACTACCCCAGGCCCTGAGTCCCTCAGGGAAAGTCACCCTGTCCCTTGCAAGGAGGGCCCCTTTCTACACAAACATATATTCCCACCCAGATCCCAGCCCCCACTTCCCATATAGCTCCTGGTCCTTGGACTGGGTTCTAGCTCCTCAAAGTTTGGAAGAGACGCTGTGGGCCTAGGCCCCGGGACCGTGGACGGGGTGAACAAGATGGGGTCTCCTTAGCTAGAGACCCCAGGCTCAGTAGAGAAACACACAGACACACACACACATGCATAGGTACACACAACATGCTCACACTCATGCCCTAATATTAAATAAAATACCCTTTGCTTATAACTTAAAAATCATTACACAGCTAATCCCCACAGAGGGCTCTGGGTGGAGAAAGGGCAGCAAAGGGAAGGAGAGGTCGGAGGGAATCTCCAGGCCTCTACCTCAAGACTGAGAAAGTCCCCCAGTTCCAGGGCCCTGTGATCTGCCAGACCCTTCCCCATATTCAGTTCCTTTCCCTTCGGCCTGGCTCAGCCTCTGCTGGGCTTTTCCCCTCCCTCTATTCCCCACCCCATGATCATAATCAAAATGTATTTGTAGCATGTAAAAGAGAAGGGAATGGGGACAGCTTTCTGGATGTCACCTCAGAAGGCCGAACCCCTTCCAGTGGGAGAACAACTCCTTCATATGGAAGGGGGGTTTCCCCTGCGAGATGCGATGGGAGGAAGCGGCCTCCTCACACACCTTCCACAGCAGAAGCAGGTCTCGTGGGGCAGGGGCGAGGGGAGGGCTGAGCTACAGAAAGAGTGGGGCTTAGCTTCTCGGTGAGCCGGAGATGGCCAGGCAGGCACAGAGTCCTCCACTCTGAGTGGGAAATGCTGGAGGTCCCTCTGCTGGGACACCCCCAATCTATCCCCAACCAACCCAAGCAACCCTCTTCCTTCCATCCCCGAGGGGAAAGCAAGTGGTGGGGACCTAGGGTAGGGAACTGCGTCAGCTCTAGAGCTGGGGCTGCTGGCTGCCTTGGAAAGCTACCTAGGGTAATAGGTGCGGAGGGTGGACTACTGAGCTTTATTTTCTATAAAGACCAAGAGCTGAAGTTTGAATGAATCAGAGTTGGACAGGGAAGGGGTTATTCCTTCCATACCCCCACCAATTCCCTTCCTGTCATTTTAGAAGGGGACTTCCACCTCCCACCCCCCACATCTAGCTCTGCCCTCCACCCACAGCTCTGGCTGGAAAGCTGTCAGGGATTCCAGCCCTCTTCCCCTCTTCCTTCATGGCTCCATCAGACTGGGTCTGGAAGGGTTAATAAGGACGTGCATCAAAGGAGCTATTTTTACAGCAACAACCTTCTAAGCCAGATAGAGACACTCCCCCCGCCAAGGGGGACCCTCAGCCTCCCCTACCCCATCTCAGCTCTCCCTCCGGAAACCCTCGGGGCAGAAGCACTATAAGGGGGATGAAAGAGACCGGGCCGAAGGGCGGCTCCGGAGGCGCTTTTATGTCGCTGTTCCCAGGCGCTAAGGACGTGTCCGGACAGCTACCCGCAGCGCCCAGGACCGGCCCTCTCCACTCCGGGGACACGCTGTTTCTTCCAGCCTGTCCCCTCCACCCCAGCCGCGGTAGGGGTGTCCCACCCCAACCCCCCAGCCCAGGGGCGAGTGAAATAGTGAGGAAGGGGAGAATGGAGGGGGCACGCACGGCTCCTCCCGGCCCAGCCAAACGCGTCCCGTCCAGTCCCAGAGACTAAAACCCCCTAGCGCCCCGTCCCCTGTCCCCGCACTTTTCTTCCCCCCCTCAATAAATAACCACCTTCCCCTCTTACTCAAGCCGCCCCGAGGACGTCAGACCCGGGGACTCTCTTCCGATGCCCCCAGGAGACCAGCAGGGAGGCGGTGCCCAGGAGCTCAGTTGGAGGGAGCCGAGCCGCCCTCGGCCTCCCGTTTGCCTTTGCCCCCGGGGGGCTCCACCGCACCGCCGGCCTTGCCCTCGCCCGGGGCCGCGCCGGCAGCCTCCTCTTTGGCTCCCTCGTGGGTTTTCATGTGCTTGGCCAGGTGGTCGCTGCGCATGAAGACTCGGCTGCAGACCGCACAAGGGAACTTCTTGGTGCCCGTGTGGGTCTGGAGGTGGCGCTGCAGCTCGTCGGAGCGCGTGAAGCGCTTGCCGCAGAAGAGCCAGTTGCACACGAAGGGACGGTCGCCGCTGTGCCAGCGCAGGTGCGCCTTCAGGTGCGACGTCTTGGCGTAGGCTTTCCCGCAGCCAGGGATGTGGCAATTGTGCAAATGCTTCTTCTTGCCCCCATCGGGCCCGCACGGAGCCCCCAGTCGCTCCGCTTCCAGGCAGTTGGGGCAGCGACACACGGTCTGGCCTGAGCTGCGGGGCACTGACCGTCGAGAACCTTTGGGCCGGGTCGCCCCGTCCAGACTGGAATCCAGCCCCTGGGACTCCGGGGCTGCCGCTTCCAAGGCCTTAGCCCCGTCGGGCGGCCCCAGGAGGTGCTGCCCTCCGGCGGCCGGGAGGAGGGGGTGCGGGTGCGGGTGGGGCGGTGGGGCACAAAGCTGGTGGTCTCCGACGTAGCCCCCCAAGCCAGCCTGAAGCGCCCCGGGGTGGCCAGGTGAGGTCAGCGCGCCCTGAGTGTGGGGGAGGTCCATCCAGCTGGTGCCCGGATGAAGGTCCCACCACGAGCCATCCTCCGTGCCTGGATGAGTGGGCCGGAACCATGATTCGTAATGGTGTGACATGTCCGGCTGCAGGAGCTTGGAAAAGGGTCCTGGAGCCAATGGACTGTCGCTTTCCAGGTCCTCGCAGGTTACCCGCGAGGAGGCCCCCGGCAGCTCATAGCCCTGTGAGAAGTCCACCTCCGGGCCCAACGGGAGGCTCTGCAGCTCTCCAGGCTGCAGCGGGGAGGGGTAATCCCCGGCCTCCGGGCTCGTGTGGCCCTGGTATGTCTGGAGGGGCTGCAGGTCGAGGCGCGGCGGGGAGGCGTGAGGCGCGTCCGTGTGCTGGCTGCCCAGAGAGCCGCAGACAGCGGTTAGCATTGCCGGGATCCGGGGTGGGGTGGGGGGCAGGGACGGTCAGGGGCACCTCAGATAGGACCTACAGGAGGCAAAGAAAAGAAGTAAGGAAAGTAACCAGCTCATTTTCTGTTTCAGCCTAGATCTGCTGCCTGCAAAGTGCTCCTCTGGCCCTCAGGTGGAAAAGAGGGATGCACCTCTGGGTAGGGACTAAAGATCAGTTAAGAGAATTCGGGAGTGCTAGAAAGGGTTGAGAGTGTGAGGTTCTCCACCAAGGGCAGAGGATGATGATGGTCTACCTTCTTCTAGGTGATTCCTCCCATAGGACCTAGCTCATACCTGGAGTTGGGCTGGTCCCAGACTGGTAAGTAGGATACATCTACATTACAGTGCTAGAACCATCCCCACCCCAGCTGTCCAGGCCAGAGCAAGGGGCAGGAGCATTTCTCCCCTGCAGACCTACTGCCAGCCCCAGTGTAGGATGCAGACCCATCTCAGCTTCCCCGGTTTAACTCAGGACACAGATGGGGCAAGGGTAGTGGTCTGTTTCTGAAACCCAAAGCTTCAAGTGACCTGCCCTCCAGAAAGCCCAAAGCAGGTCCTGAGTACTTGGAGAAAGAGCCTCTGTGCCATGGCCGAGGCACATTCAGTGAGGAAGAACATTTCACCTCTCCACGCTACTCCCCTCTGCTCCCTGCCCGGCCTGGTTGCCTTGGCCCCCCCAAACCTACTCCTCCGCCTGGCTCTCACACCATTCTCTCGGGCAGGGATTTCACCTCCCTGGAGTGCAGCGGCAGTGCCAGTTTCCAGAGGACTTCCACACCAGTGCTGGCAACTCTGGCTGCTACCCATGCCTTTCTCCAAGCTAGAGGAGACCCAGCTATAAAGCTGAGAGTGGTCGGCTTCCCCAGAGAAGGTAGTCAGCCAAAGAAGAGCTTGCCAGTCAAGCACAGGAAGCTATGGATGCCACCCCCTTAAGGGATGCAGGGTCAGAGTGCGGGAAGAGGAGAGCAAGGAGAGAAGCCATAATTACAGAACCGAAGAGCAAGAATAGCCCAAAGAGATTACATAAGGGGGTGCATCCCAAGCACAGATAATTTTTAGAAGCCCCCCACCCCCCATGGTTCTAACATGCAGCCAAGTGTCGAGGACCACTGCTCCAGGCCAACCCTGTTATTTTAAAGAATAGGAAAATGAGGCTAAGTTTGGAGCAGTGACTTGCACAAGGATTTTCATCTGTTCATTCAGTCAACAAATATGTACCTCGTAGCTCCTCTGTGAACCAGGGCTCCCCACTCCTTGTCTGTTACTATTTCCCTAAATCACGACACTCTCCCCCACCCCTTTCTCGACCACATATCTGTGACTTGAAGGTCCCCCTCTTCTCACCCCCTCTCCCTAAGGACGGGGCCCCTGGTGTCTCAGGTGTGTGGGTTTGCCTGCTTGGGCCTTCTCTGATGGTGGGGGGTTTAGGGCAGGGTCTTTTCCTCCCCAAAGCGGGGCTCCGCTGACCTTACCACCTTCTGCCTCTGGGACCAGGGAGGTGGCGCTGGTAGTTAGGGAGAGGGAGGGAAAGGAGGACTGGGGCGCCTACTCAGGCTCCTGCTGCCTCACCACAAGAAAGGAACGGGGTGAAGCGGCAGGAACGGAGCCTCAGGCGGGGGCGGGACAGGCCAGAAGGGGCAGGGCGGGAGCGGTGGGGCCTGGGACCCTAATAGCTTTTGGCGCCTGGCAACTGCCCCAGGGGCTGGGGGCTGGGGAGGCAAGGACGCCCCGGGCTCCAGAGTGGCCCCTCCCGACAGAGATCCCGAGAGCCCAGGCCTAGGATGCAATGGCCGGCCACCAAGGTTTCAGGAAAGAAGAGAGCGGGGCGCGCACCCGGGCTTCCCGCTCCCCCAGCGCGGGAGGGCGGGGAGAGACGCCCTGATGCCCCACTCGGCCGGCGGCCTCCGCGGGTCACCGGCGCTCAGGTGGTCGGGACTTCCACACTCCCGGTTCTCAATGTCCCAGTCCTCCGGTTGTCCCAGTCGCTCCAGTTCCCCCAGTTTGCAACCTCCTCCGTCCCTCCGGTCTCTCCCGTCCGCCCTGTTTTTCCCCCGTCGGGGCTCTAAGCTCAGATCCTGTAGGGTCACCCCGTCCCTGGGCCAGGGGAGGCGGCGGCGCGTCCGGAGCGCGTTTTCCGGGCAGGATCTCGGGGCGCGCACCCCCGGCCACCCCCGCCCGGGTCCTACCTGGAGGCTGCGCGCGGGCTCCGGGCGCGGCTGGCGGCTGCGCTACCGACGGGCGCTCATGGGCTCTGCAGCGGCGACGGGCAGGAGCCAGG